TCCTTGTCTGGGGCACAGCAAGAGGAAAGGGAAGTTGGGTCATTCCCTGTACTATTAATAATTGGCGGAGGCAGGCGTTTCGGCTTGTATTCTCCACATGGTGCCATCTATTTGATTTTTCACCACTGACTGCCTGTTCAAACCTGCCATATGACACTTGATATGCTTGGGTAGGCTGGGGACATACATACCCCGACCCTGGGCCACGGGGAACAACCAGCTGGCCAACAGATCCAGCCAGGTTTCAAGAAAAAAATTACAGCTGGGCTAGTTGGCTTAGACTTTAAGAAAGACTCAAGGCTGGCAGGTATCCCGCTCACAGCATGGCGTACCCCATTGGAAGTGATTAATTTTTAGATAAGGTCATTTATTTAAAATATTAATATTGCCCCATGTTCTACAGATCCTTGAAGAGAGATGCAGTTTTTCTGCTTCCTTAATAGATACGAAATGGAAACACTGAAATGCGTAAAGAGACAGGAAATTTGACCCAATAATAAGAGACGCTAGAAGGATCAATAAACGTTAACTCTAAAGTGTTTCCCAAACATACATGAAAGGCCAGAATGCAAATTTCTTATTTAAATTGGATTTTGACACAAAGGTCAGCTTTCAAAAACACCAAGGTTGATTTCTACAAACAAACAAACAAAATCCTATTACCAGCTATAAAAAATGTTTTCCTTCAGAAAATAAAGACCTGGAAAGGCAAAGATTCTAGCCAGTCTTTGTCAATACTCAAGTTTATGGGAAAAAGCAAGTAATTACGTTTTTCATTCCAAATTTGAAAACACAAAGTAGTTATTTCTCATCCTATCAAGTTCTTTACCATTGCAGAATGATTCAGACAAGCCTTGCTAACCCATTACGGGGGAATCCGCATTTACCATCTAAACAACACATTTTGCACATAAGCTGCGAATTTTGTGTGTGTATATATATGAGAAATGCTGAAAAATTCAAAGCAGTTATAAAGTCTGATGATACAAAAGAGCCTGTGTTTTTCCTGGCTCGCACGTCCGTCTGTGTGATGGCCCGTGGTGACAACCAATATCAGAGGTCTCTGAGCTTAAGTAAAAGAATCCGTCCCGCAGCGGAGCGCGGCTGTGGCGCTCCGGTGCCCCTCACAGCCCGCGGCTTTCCCGTCGCTGCTGTGTTTGCAGACTCCCGACAGCCGAAACGCTGCGAGGGAAAAACTGCTGTTCTGAAAATAAATCCGTGCTGAGGATTTTCGACACCTGTTTCTTGCAGCCCTCGAAGCTCCTCCTGACAAAGGGCGTTCTGACCACGGCTCCGCCGTGTGCGAGGGTCGGGGCTTGCGGTTGCGGGACCTGTGACATCCCCCGAGGTGGCCAAGCGCCCTCTGGCCCGGGAGGGATGTGCCTTCACACAACCCAGCCCCGGTTAGGAACACAAATGGGAGAAACTCCAGCGGGGCGGTTCGGGCCGTGGGGGTGAATCCCTGCCTTTAGGGGTGGGGGGTGAGTGTCTCTGCAGAGCAGTTCGCAGGGTCGGGACCACCACCAACCCAACCGCCCAACTTCCCCGCGGGGAGGAGAGATGGTTCTCTGCGCTCCCGACGCTCCCGGGTGCCGGACCGGCTTTGGCTCCCGGGCGAGAACCCTCTCCCCGTCTGACGCCTTTACCGGCGCTCCGGGGGCCAGCGGGGGCATGA